GAACTGCCCAGCCGGGCCCGTCTTGGCTACTGCAGACTGGAGTGAGAGTGGAAAATGAGTTTCTACAATTTGGACCGCTTTCGCTTTGACCGTAAGAGAAAAGCAGATCAGGAACCTACATGTCCTTCGGCAGCCAAGGTGTCAGCAGGTAAATCTGCAGCAGCGAGTGGTGCTGCTGGAGGTGATGAGGATGAAGATACAGATGACAGCAGTGATTTGGATGCTCCAGCTTCAGATGTGACAGGGAAATATGGTGAGTCAGGTGTTTTGCATGTGGTGTAAGAACAGTGTGAGTACGTCATTACTAGAAATAAAACAATTGTATTTTTTCTTTTCTTTTTTCCCCCCTCTTTCTTTGTTTTATAATTGTGCTTTTTCATGCATACGTATGTCACAGCAGTTTCCACAAAAACATCCTTATTTGTAACGGTGCTTGCTCTAATTTAACCTGTGCTTTTACAGTCAAGTCGGAAACCTTCTGATAACTAAAGCTGAAGTTATTTTTTTCAGTTGAATAAAACAGCTACAATTTCAATGTTTAAAGTATGTTATGCTTTCCTTTTTATTAATTATTGGTAGTTATTTTACACTAACTCAGTGTTTTCAAAGTACAAAAAAACCCCTTTTAGTTGTCTTATAAATAAACACTACATAGGCATAACTTTTTCACTAGAGTTCTAGGCTAATGCAGTGTGGAATATCACAGATAAAATTGAGAAGAAAACAGTTTATTTTCAGTTGGGCCTGATTTTGTAAGGAACTGAGCAAGCTGCTGCTGATTCTCACAAGCTGATTGCATTAGTAGTTTTGTAGCTGTATTTTTCCTCTTTTCTGGCAGTAGCTTGTGGTTTTCATGGAAATGTGAAAAACTTGGTTATGTAGTAATCTATTGTTTTGCTTGGCTGATACACTAGAGATGTGCTGTTTCTGTTTGGATCCATCAGTTAATACTAAAAACTGTAATGGCTGTCAGCTGTGTAATCACGTTCACCAGTAGCTTTCCTGTTACCGAAGGAGTAAGAATGGAAGAACTATAATTGTTTGTTGCTGATTATTTTATACATTTTGTCATTCCATGTAACTTCTGATGTAGATGGCGACATACCAGTGTTATTGGAGAGATCAGACAGGCTTTGACTATCCATTTAGTAATGGAGCAACAACATCAGTTGGTATCAACATGAGAAACTGTTAGTTGTGGCTTCTGTGTGTGTGTGCTTTGTAATAGACTGCATGAAAAAACTGGTACTCTGAGGAAGTGCACTTTGGAACAGGTGTTGTCTTCCTATTAGTGGTAAGTCAGCTGTCTTGTGCGGTGCAGGTACCCTTGAACTCTGAACACAGATGTGAAGTAATGGAAGGTGCTGTTGGTTTTATGGCTTATTTATCCTTGTGATTTATTTTTTTAATATTATATCTTTTCCTTTAATCTGCCTGTGGACCTGTCTGTCAAGGGAAGCATGTGGGTAGGACTGAGAAGGAGAAGGGATGTCATATCCAATGTAGAGGCATGAGTATGAGTTTAGATAGGCAACAAAAGGAAAGATGAAAGGCAGCCTAAAAGAACTGTTGTGGAAGGCTAGTTGTGAGGAAAACTAGTGGAAGATCATGTCAGCTACCTGTAAAACAGAGTACAGTAGATGTGCAGGCAAAATTACAGCAAGTAGCCGACTTAAGAATCCATGGACACAGATCCTGATGTAGGACTGGGGTGCCAAGTAACATTTTAAATTGAGATATAGTTACTAGTACTTTGCATTTACATAATGTTTCATCGTTCACAGATACTGAATGTTTAAAGAAGATGGAGTGGTTTGGTGACTTTTTTCCACTTATTTGCACGTCATTATGTAACCCATTGAAAGGAATTAACCATTTTAAAAGCCAGATAACACTTTCTACATCTATAGAACTTAAGCCAAATTAAACTATTCAAATTATGTCTGCAGGATATGAGGCATTTAAATGTAAAAGAGGGAGACTAGGTTTGATTAGCAGATGCCTGACCTCCTCCTTTCCAAATCAGCAACAGGAAGACACAAGTTTTCTTGCTTTGTTTCAAACAAAACAGACTTGAATTACAGTGGAAGAGGTGTAGAGATGACCAGTTTATGGCACTGAGCTATCGCTACTGCTAAATACGTAACTCAAGAGTTCTTTATTTACTATAGAAATACTTTTGTGCTTATAATACTTTATATACTTACAGAAACAAAAAAAAACCCCTATATAAAATAGCTGATGGGTTTTTTGATCCTATTTAATTGGGTATCATGCAATCATACTGTGTGCGTAAACAGAATTTTAGAATCAGATTATTTTTTTTTCCTTCAGGAGTGCAAATGGTTCAGTGTAATTTCCTATGGATTTCTTTAGGTATCTGTTTTGTCAAGTATCCTGAAATATGCATCAACAAAAAGATACTGTTATTTTCAATAATCTTGGAAAAAACAGCCAGGTGATGTCTATTCTGTGTCATGAAACACCATTATCTTTCTAGCTATATTTGGTTTGTTTTCCCAGAACAAACTACTATCGGTAAATTGTTCTGCACCCTGGGTGTAAATGTATGTAATGCTTCTTGTTTTGTATTGAACATGTTTACCTTTTATAAGCAATTTGTTTTATGATAAGTAGAAGAACTGGTTGTCTTTATATATTTGCATATTCAAAATTACACAGGCTTGCAGTGGCTTTGCAGCCAAGTTGTAGGTGGTCATTCTGAACATCAGTTAACTGAGGGGTAGAAACCAACTATGGGGGCAGTTATAAAATTATATCTGAGAGATACCTCTGTAAAGAGTTGGAAAAATTCATTGAAGTGTCATGCTATAATTGTCTGTAAAAAAAAAAAAAAAAAAATAGTATCGTTTACTAAATAATATACACATTTGGTTTCTATTAGTCTGTTAGAAAACAGTGAAGTTACCTTCTTAATTCTCAATTAGATGTTTGTAATTATGCAAATAGCCTGGTGTACGAAGATGAGACTATTCCAGTTGTAGAAATGGAGCAGAACTGTATTAGAACTATAGAAATAAGAATAATTTTGATCATGAATTTCAAAATGAGATTTGTATTCAAAAAACGTTCTTTACAAAGCTTCAACAATTAATGTTGTAGATGAAATTAAATGACTATATAAAATCCCATTATCGATGGTGGATTTTGTTGATACCTTCTCTGTATTATTCAAATATATTCAAATGACTGCACTTTCACGTTATGATGTTGAGGGTGTCACACTTGCACTGGGACTGCTGCTTTTATTCTTGTCTGGTGCAATTTTCTTTATAATCTGAGGAAGTCCTGTCTTTTGCTTACGTCACAGTTTGTAGGGTATTATTCTACTTAAAAAGCATATTTGAAAAAAAGCAATGACTGCATTACCTAGCGAACTTTTCTGAGGGCTCATGGCAGGATATGTTGAAGTAATCATCATTTTAAAATAGTCTGTTTAAGAAGCACCTTAGAGTAACACTGATACTTAGAATTATTTTGGCAATGAAAAAGACTTCCCTTTGAAAATGGAATATTAATTTTCTTGTAGACTTGAGCAGCATGCATTTGATAGTGCTTTCCAAAACTAGGTGGAAATTACTTTCCATTTGACAGCGTTTGTTGTGCAATGTTAGTAAATGTAGTAAGCCTCTAACTATTACCTAAGTTTTATTTTTACTTGTGTGAGAAGAGGCTGGGCTTTGTAAAGATATGAGGTATGGTTTGTGTAGGCAGCTACATTTACAATTATAGGGCATATGGGCAATGTATTATAGCTCTGCTCTAGGTATATGCTTCTCAAAATACTATAGTGAGCCTGATTTTAAAAAGGGAATAAAAAATAAAATTAAAGGTGAAGCTTTTTCAGGAGTAATTGGAGCTCTGCATTTAGTGACTAAACTAAGCAAATTATTTGCTTTAACATTGTAAAAGCAGTTGCATTTGAGTATCTCTATCCATAACTTAACACTGTCTCCATATAATCATAGACAGTTTGATCTAGTTATTCTCATGGAGTCTTTTTGTATGATAAAACCAAAACCAACTTACTTTTGCTGTTGTTAACAACTCCAGTTAGGGATACTTCTATGTTTCCTTAGTAGAGTTGAAAAATGGTCTTAAGATTGCAGGCATTCCTTAATAGTCCTTTGTAATTGCCTGTAATCAAGAAATTGTGCCTTCAATAATTACATGCTGTGGAAATAACTGTGTAGTCTGTTACTACTCTGCAAGGGTGTAATTTGCTCTAAATACAAGGACTCCATATTTACATATGGGATTTCTGTACTTCTCCCCTTCCTTCCCCATTAATAAAGGGTTCTGTTCAGTGGAATAAGTAGAAGAGAGGGAGAATGCCTTTTCCAGGTAACTCAGCATTTCATAGGTGTAGGAATTAGGAGTTGTCATGAAGACTGGATAGTTATGTAAAAATAAAATGAGAAGTTACCAAGTGAAACACTTAAATACTCTTTAAACCTAAACCTCTTCTAAGGTTTAGATTGTAAAAAATAAAATTATTTTTAAGACTGTGTTGTTTTTGTAAACTTTCCTTGTTTGTGTTTGGGATTTTTGTTGCCTTTAAAAAAACCCCCAACCAACCAAAACCAGCCAACCAACCAAAAAACCCAACAGATCCAACAAGCTTCTTATCAAAGCTGTCTTAAGAACCTGTCATTTGCATGTCATGCTGCTTGCAGAAGGATTATACTTGAAATATAATTTAGCCTAGAAGACAAATATCATGAGAACAGGCTTGATCAATTTTGTTAATTCAGTTGAGGTGTGAACTTCTCATGTTTCTTATAGACCTGTTTGATACTGCCATTCACAGCTTTTACGCATCTTGCATTTTTGTCCTATTGTGATAGCCCTTTCTTGGCTAGCCCAACTTTATAATCTTCAGATTTTTTTCTGCTTTATTTTTCTTTGTTAGACAGGAATTACTGAAATAAATTTGCCTGCTTTTTCATGTTTAAATGTAATAAAAACATTTGATATGTTTCCCAAGGTTTCCCTTGTTCTTCTCCTTTATTAATCTTAAACAGTTTTCAGATTAAGCAGAGCATCTCTGTCAAGGACAACACATCTCCTCATGGATAGAAGAAGGTACTGCTGAGGAACTTCCTACTGCACACATGTTGGTCTTTGTTACAGGGAGGTCTGTCTTGAGACAATGCGTTACTGCTTCAGAACTAGAAGTCTTTAGGCCTTCCTAGTTTATATGTGTATGGGCTCTTCAAGATTACAAGAGTACTTTGCAAAGTGAGACTTTGCCTGTGCTAAAAATCATTACAATAATCCTCTGTCGTGTTTTCAAATATTAGAAAAGGTTTAGGTTTTTATGATAACAAAACTGGGGCCTTCTATCACAGATGAAGGAATGAGACACTATGTAGCTCATTTCTGCATTTGATGATCACATTAATTTATTTTAGCCTCTTGCGTGTCTGGTCTCTGCTGGCAAATCATCTTTAAAAACTGGCGCTATGCTCTACAGGAAACCTCAACAAGTTTCTGCATTCGTGGACAGAGGCAGAAGAAATTACCTTTATTTCCAGCTGAAATTATGGTTCCAGAGTTAGCAGCTGAGAAAGCACCACTGATGTTTGGATTATAGGCACATGAGTTTTGAGAAAGGATTGATGTGCTAAAGGGGAGAGGATGTCCATGATGTTGTATTTGCATTATGGGGATGACAAGTCCTTTTATATGAGGACTTAGGCTGACAGATACATCATTAAAACTGAGCTCTTCTAGGAGTTTTGTAGCTGACTCTCATACACCTTCCCTGTGTAATTGGTTTGGTCTGTTTTCTTATTCATGATTCAAAGCTCTCTGATGTGGGAAGTGAGTGGAGACTTTTTTTTTTTTCATGTATCCAAATCGGAGTATATTACTGTCTGTCATTCTTCACTCAGGATCTCAATAACCATACCTATTCTTTCTCTAATTCTTCTACCTTTTCCCTCCTGCTCTGCGTTAGCACCTATCTTCTTACAATGTAAATCAGATATTATCAACAACGGAGAGCTCCTCTGTATTTAATACCAGCCACATAGCTGGGATGGGCTATGTCAGTTCTTTGCACAGAGGCATGGTGGTGGGTGGGGAAACCTCAATAACCCCACTGGAGGAATGGCCCCTGCCCTGGCTTCTCCCAAGGCTGTCACAGGAGGGCCCACAGCCCTGTGCATTGGATAAGGATGATTCCCATTGCTGTGCGGAAGCAGCAAGGCTTTTGGGAGCACTGTTCAGACTGAGGGGCCCATGTGCCTGGGGTGCCAGCAGCCAGAGGGACCAAAGTGAGTGGAAAATCATGTGACAGCCAGCATGGGACATGGAGGCCTGTGTTATCCGTGGTGCCCTGCTGCTGCGTGGCCCCTGTGGAGGCAGTGGGGGTACCAGGGGTGTAACAGCTGGTGGGTGCAGTGGCCTGGGAAGCCAGGGAGGGACCAGAGGGTCTGAGTTGCTCATTAATGTGTGGGGCAGCCCAAGAGGAGGGGACACAGTGCCAGCCACCAGGTAGAGGGTGGAGAGATCCACAGCGTGTGTCTTGTGAGGCTGTGCAAGGGGGACTGTGCTGACAACCAGAGTGGGGTGTGGGCCCTGTGGGCTGACAGCTAATGAGGAGACTGAGGCTCCATCCTGGGTGGACTGGGTGTCTAAGGCCAGCGACTGGAGGGTTCCCTGTTTGGGTGCTGATGCCAGCGGACCTTTGTTCTGATCAGCCGGAAGGGGAGCAGGCGACCGCCATCTTTCGTGTGCCCTGGTTCTGGAGCAGGCAAGTGACTGCAGGCTGGGTGGCAGCAGCAGCAGATGGGAGGTAGCACTTGGCAGTCCCCTGGGAGGCAGAGTCTTCTTTGGCACTAAAGAAAGGCAAACCCCTTTTTAAACCTGGTCAGTAAGAAATATGGAAATGACAGATAATAGTGGTTTTCAGGTTAAAACATAGGATTCTCTGCTGAAATAGGATGCTGAAACAAGACAATTCAGTACTAACTCTCTGGCAGACTGTAACATTCTTCCATGAATTAAAAGCTGAGATGGCAATAATTATGTGCTCTTCCTTTCTTGCTTCTCTGTTTCTAAACTGGAATGGAGACATTGGTGGATTACTGCCTGGTTAGCAGGGTGTTTTGTACTTTCAGCAG